CCTTTTTTCCTCCTCTTCCTCCTCCTCGTCTTCTCTTTCTCCTCTTCCTCCTCCTCTTCCTCCTCTTCCTCCACCTTTTTTCCTCCTCTTTTTCTTCCTCTTCCTCCTCCTCCTCGTCTTCTCCTCCTCCTCCTCCTTTTTTTCCTCTTCTTCCTCCTCCTCCTCCTCTCCTCCTCCTCCTCTTCCTCCACCTTTTTTTCCTCCTCTTCCTCTTCCTCCTCCTCGTCTTCTCTTTCTCTTCTTCCTCCTCCTCCTCTTCCTCTTCTTCTTCCTCCTCTTCCTCCTCCTCTTCCTCTTTCTCCTGGTACTCCCCTCTATGGGCATCCGCAGGTGCCCCTCCGTCCCCCAAACATTCCAGCCTGTCCTTGGGAGGCAGCTGCCTTGCCCAGTCCATTCCCAGCACAGGTTGGGAGCAACTGTCCCTCCGCAGCTGGCCTGCCCTGTCCATGGGTGGAAGAGCAGCTGAAGGCCTGGCCCCGGGGAGCCCCGGCGTCCTTCTGGCTCCCCAAGGGGGTGGGTGGGAGCGGCTCTCCTTCGCCAATCTGTTTGAGGCCCCCTTTGCTGGCAGCGCCATGAGAGAAGCAAGAGGTTAATGAGCCAACGCCGCCGTGGTGTTGCGGCAGCAGCCGCACGATGACAGTGAGCAGCAATTACTAATTAGATGCAGTTTAACAGGAGGGGGGGAGTGACATCTCCTCTTCGCCAACTGTCAATAATTAGCAGATCTGGTGAGGCTGAAATGTGTCCACAGTTAAAAGGCGGCTCCTGCCTGGGAGAGGAGGAGGAGGAGGAGGAGGAGGAGGAGGAGGAGGAGGAGGAGGAGGAGGAGGAGGAGGAGGAGGAAGGTACTGCGAGGTCCTTGGTGTTTTTCTGAGCTTGGTTGTTTCCTTGCAGACATTTCATGACCCAACTAGATAACATCTTCATTGCTAGAAGGAGGAGGGGTTTGCAGGGAGGAGGAGGAAGAGGAGGAGGAGGAAGAGGAGGAGGAGGACCTCAGGGGGACAGGCAGGGACCAGCCTTTTCCACTGGGATTGAGCTGGTTCCGGCCTCAGGGCAGGCAGGGGCTTTTTCCGGGCAGTAGGGAGGCTGGATCCTGGTGCAGCCTCAGGGAAGGATCTCAGCCCTTCGAGTGGCAGGAATTGAATCCCGTGAGAACAAAGGATTGGCGTTCCCCTAAGCCAGTCAGTTGCCCAACATCTAAGCTGGCTTGTGGTCATTGCGTGAAGCCCTTGGTGAGTGGTGGCCGGGGTGCCATCAAGGTTTCAGCCTAGCCCCAGAGGCCTCGCCTTGTTCCCAAATTTGGAACCGGTGTGGGTGCTGCTGGAGCTCCTTCTGGGGCTTATCCTGGACAGGAAAGACAGAGACGCTGAGTATGGGATGGCTCTTGTGCCCCGTGCCATGCCAGAACCACTCAGCCGCTCCCGGGCCAAGAAGGGAAGGGAAGGGAAGGAAGGAAGGAAGGAAGGAAGGAAGGAAGGAAAAGAAAGGGAATGGAGAGAGGGAAAGAAGGGAGGAAGGAAGGACATTGTTTCATCATAACAAAAGCCCCACTTTTTTCTTTTATGCCTTAAAATGTCGGCGAATGCTTCCTGCAGCTGATGCTCTGGCCTTAACAGGCTGCCTTGGGGGAGCTTTGCAAGATCGCAGCTCCCCCAAATGTTCATCCCCATGTGGGCCCCAGGAAGAAGAAACTCCACAAAGGACACCTGGTTGGCTTAGCTGGGCTCTCTTTTTACACCCGTGGACCCACATCCTCTGCAGGCACAGGAGCCACAAGGATTGGCAGCCTTGGGGGCACCTGCTCACCTGGGACGAGCCCGGAGTTTCTGAGAACCATCTGGAAGACCGTCATGAACTGCCAAATCCAGTGGTTTGAAGGGCCGTCACAGAGAGAAAGGGGGGGATGGGGTCAACTTATTTTCCAAAGCACCAGAAGGCAAGACAAAAAAACAACGGATGGAAACTAATCCAGGAGAGAAGCAACCTGGAATTAAGGAGAAACAGTGTGGACAATTAACCAGTGGAACAGCTTTGCCTTCAGACGTTGTGGGTGCTTCAACACCGGAGGTTTTTAAGAAGAGAAGTGGACAGCCACTTCTCTGAAATGGTGTAGGGCCTCTCCTACTTGAGCAGGGGGCTGGACTAGAAGACCTCCAAGGTGCCTCCTCTAGTCCGATTGATTGATGGAGTCCAAAGCTGCCCTGCAAGAGCCTAGGAAGAGCCCAGTATTCAAAGAAAAGAAAGAAAAGCTTCTGTCGAACAGTGAAACATGAATACGGAACCACATTTTTCTTCAAAGGT